CTTTCCCTCTGTTCAGCCTCTAACTCCATTCTCTCAGCTTCTTCTTCGGCTTCCTCAGCCTTAAGGATTTCAGCTTCGACTGGAGTTGCATACTTCATATGAGGGTCTTCGGGATCCTGGACCCATTCAGCACATTTGGACCAGTCCAACTTCGGCTCAGCATGAAGGCAGACTCTTCGGCACACTCTGAACCTGTTTCTGAAATCCATTTCATATTCTTCCTGGGTATAGACACGGACTTTGAGTAGAGCCTCAGCATCAACCAACTTCTTCTTTGTCTCCTCCAAGTCTTCCTTGGATTTCTTCAGCTCATCGGCGAGCTTGGAGGAGGAACCTTTCAGCTCATTCAGCTCCTGCTGAACTTGGGAAGCCTCTGTCTGGGCCTGGGCCACTTCTTCCTTTTTGGCCATCAGCTGATCCTTAGCTTCTTGGAGCTTAGCTCTCTGAGCTTCAGCAGCAGCAGCAGCCTATGAGAGTTGGACATCCCTGGCTTGGAGCATCTCTTCAGCAGCCATTCTGCTGGCTTCAAGAGCTTCTAGCTGTTGCTGCACTTCAGCTTGTGCAGCAGCTCCTTCCTGGATTCGGCTCTCAATGGTAGCCTTGAATTTGGAGATGTCCACTCCCATGTGCTCTTGGAGGAAATTTTCCCCTTCCATCAGTGGGGGAAAAACTTCCTTCTCCATAGCATCGCAGAAGGTTTTGAGGGATTCAACAGCTTTTTTCTCATGTTCTTCACCCTTCTGCTGCTTCTCTTCAGCTGCTGCTTGCTTCAGCTTAGCAAGCTTTAACTCCTCTTCGGCTACCTTTTTGTCGTGCTCGGCAGCGTCCACCCTATCTTGTAGGGTATCTATCAGCTCTACAGTGAGAGTCTGATTGTGCACGAACTGAAAACAGGAGCACAAGTTAAAATAAAAAATAATAATAATAATGATAATTGAAGAGCTGAATTTTAAAGGAGATAAAGGCAAGGAAAATCACCTGCATCATCAGCAGTTGGTTAGACCTGGCTGGGTCAGGAACTGATCTGCTGGATTCGCCCATCCCAGCAGTGGCCTTCAGCGACCAGATTCTTGCCCTATCTACTTCGGACATGCCAGCAAAATCGCCGAAGTACGCTGCATCACCTTCTCGGTTCTGACCCCATATGAGGTCCCAGATGTGATATGGGATTGGAATTCGGGGGGCCGAGAAACCCATTTCTCTAGATTGCAGAGTCTGGAAGGAAGGAAAGGATGACGATGGAGCTTCTTTAACTTTGGATGGCTCAGCATCCTCCTTCTTCTCAGAAGAGTCAATTATTATGACTTCTTCTTCTTCAGGGGTGAGGACGAAGGCCTCAACCTCTCTTGCAATGTCTGCCGTGAAACCCTCAGCACTGGGCATCACGACATCCTCATTCTTGTGCTCAGCAGCACTTTCTTGAACTTCTTCTTGGACCCCTCCCTTAGGTTCGGGAGTTTTCTGATCCACCTCCATCTCGGGAGGTGGCGGAGGGGTCTTTGGAGGTGATTGAGGTGGTGGCCGGGGAACCCTCGGCGATCCATTGCCTTCCTCGGGTTCCCTTATTTCGACGCCGATGGTCATCGGCCTCCGCTGAAAGTCATGGGGGCCGATGATGGCCATTCTTCGGCGCCTTTTCTGAAGCGGCTGCTCGTCCATGTTTGAGTCTGAGGACTCTTCTTGTATCTGGTCTTCGAGACGAACAGGGGCTTTCCCTTCTCTGTGTCTATTACTCTCTTCAGACTGTAAAATACAGGGGGGGAAGAAGAATGTGAGTAAATAATAAAAAAAAAAACAAAACAACAAACAAAAACAGATAAAATTCAGTCTGAAAGCTCACCGAGGTCTTCAGCAAAGCCTCGTCTTCTTCAGCTGCCCTAGCTGCAGCTTCTTCTTCAGCAGCCCTGGAGGACCCTTCTCCTCCTTCACAAGCTTCAATAACCCGTGCAACCTCTTCGGCCGTACGGGCAGCTTTAGCTTCTTCGTCCAGCAGCTGAAACCAGGGATCTCTCTTCTTCCACCAAGGCTTCTGCCTCTGATACAGAGCAACAACCTCAATTTGGAAGTGGGAAGAGTGTAGATGAACTTCTATATGCCGCGGTTCAGTGATAGAGGGGGCCCGATCAGTTACAACTCGTTCTCGGTTGACGCCAAGACGAGCGTAGTTAATGCCGACGTTGGTCTCGTCCCGCTTTGAAAAAGAAAAGGGGAAGGGTCAGTTCAGTTAGGTTGGCACAGCATTAAAAAGCGAAGTGAGAGGAGAAAAAGAGATAATTAAAAGGCCTCGGCCCCAGCCGAAGAAGCTTACCATCCTTAAACTTTCGGCTGAGGCCGACAGCTGCTAGCATGTTCTCTTGGAAAACATAATGCGTATCGGGGAGCCAAGTCTCCGGGATATGCTGCATTCGGCCGCTGCCCCCCCGGTTCGGCAGCTTGCCGAAGATATTCTGTTGATTAAGGTTTGGATCTGGGCCGTTATCTGCGGGGGGACCTAAACTTCCCATGTCGGGATCAGGCTCAGCAAGGTACCGGGGAGCGCTGAAGACGCAAGGGTGGCCCGGGTCCGTGGGAGCCCTAACCCAAATCCATTGACCTCTCCAGTCCTTGTCTGAAGAGTCGTTCGGCCACATGGTTAGGTACTGGGGCCGAGACTCAATCCGGTACCACCTAGAACCATGACTTCCGTGCCCACTTTGAATATTTGGCACTAGCCGATGAAGCTTTTTGAAGCAGTGCAGGTTCGGCACATACCTGAAGAACTTGCAGACCCATAAGTATGTCATCACCCTTCGGATGCTAATAGGAGTTAGCTGACATAGGGAAATATTGTAATGGATCAGCAAGTCTCGGACGAATATGTCCAAAGGGAACCTTAGCCCATACTGAAGTTGTCTTGTGTACACCCCCACATACCCCGGGGGTGGACGATGGATTCTATCGGATGCCACGGGCATTCGGCACCAATACCCATCAGCTTCAAGGATGCCGTAATGCAACTCAATTTGTTCGGAAAACCGATACTGTTCGGCATTCTCCACCCACCATGAGTAGGGGCGGTTCTTTATCATGGCCGAAGCTACTTCGGCATCCTCCCACTCTGAAAACCCGGGAAGGATATCCCAAAGGACAGCGGGAACTTCATCGTCCCGCCCAGAAGCGCTCGGCCCCTCCGTTCTCTGAGGAGGAGCCGAGGAAATTGGAGTCGCCCTAATCCCTTCAGCAGGGTCAGACTTGCTCTTTGTCCATTCCAGGTCCCAATCCTGTTCCTGGGATCGGGAATTGGCCTTGCTCTTCTTGGAGCACGGGCTCTAACCCTAACTCCTCTCGCCATTGATAATTTCGAAGAAAAAAGTCGAAAAAAAAGGGAAGGAGTTCAAATTCGAAGAAAAATAAACTAAAATCAAAGGAATTTACCTTAATCTGAAGCGAAAGTTGCCGATTTACGAATTGGTAGTGGCGAGTCTCAGTTTCTAAGCTTAATGCTCGGGGAATTTGCGAAGTTTTGATGCGGGTTCTTGGGTTCTCTCGAGAATTCTGGGTTTGTGTTGGTGAATAAGTGAGGAGAGATGACGCGCCTCTAATTATATCTCCAGAAATGGGAATACGGGGAGTCCGCGTTTCAATTTCTCTTAAATACCCCACTAAGTAACCGTTAAACACACGACCTTGCGATTAAACTGCCCATTATCCGTCCAACTTCCACAATTATCCGCCTTAACTGTTGTTATCTCATTAATTACGGTTTAATTACGGTTTAAATTCAAATTTTTGGATTAATTAAATCATTCACTTCCCTCCTTTTCTGATTAAATCAAACCCGACCCGTCATCCTTCCAAATCGGGTCTGGGGGGCAAGTTGTTTGGGTCCAATTTAGTCCAATTGGGCCTAGGCATTAAATGATCTAATTAAAAGCCCAAGGTCAAGGTTCATCTCTCCAATTGTGCTAAAGTCAAAGATCAGTCCTCAAGGCAAGCCAATTGGGCTAAGGCCCAACTTCTCCATGTATGCAAAGGTATAAAAGCCATCAATATTACATTTGTACATTCATTCAAGCAAAGCCTCAAGCAATTAATTCTCTTGCATAGTGTTCTCTTTCTACACACTGTACTGACTTTAGCATCGGAGGGGCCTTCCTCGGCAACACCCCCGAGGCTAGTTTACGTGTGTTTACTGTGCAGGAAACCTTCGGCCCAACATTACTTGGATCGAATCTAGTCTTCTCCACTTCATCGGACCTTCGACAAAATCCCATTGTTTTCACCCGAAACAACAATAAACATATAATTACTTTTAGCAAAATAGCCGATGAAAAACTTCGTTTACATTATTTTGGTAAATCATTTGATCAAACTCTTTCGCTCAGAATCAACTTTCACACTAGTCTACAAAACTACGGAAGTTGTTGGTGGTGGTGGCCGCGGTTGTTTTGGTTGAAGATTCAAACACTAGTGAACCATGGGAACATGTTAAAGTCACAAGCCTATTTCTATTAGCTTTCTTGACATCTAAATGAAAGAGAAGATAGCAATCTGCTTCCCTTGGAATGTGACACATTTGGGTGAAAGAAAATATATTGGTAGAAAAGGTAGCAAATTAGTCAAAATGAAGAGGAAAAACAATAATAGTGCTCACAAAGAGAACATTTGGTTGGAAAGTCAAAATAAAAAGACAAAAAGGCAATCTCCTTTGGATTTATTTATCAACCTCGAATGCAGCTTCTTTCTGGAGACAAGGATAGGAAGGATGGTTGTTTCTCATTTGAGGGCTCGAGGACAACTGATACCCAGGAAAAAAGGTTGTTTGGTTTCTGAAATCCTTTTCCCATGTTTTGGTTTTAACTCTTTCCTTTCCTCTTTTTAATTCCTTTTCACTCCTAAATCTTTCCCAAGTACTGGTTTTAGCATTTAACACACATGAAAGTAGTTCTCCCTCAATTCTGAATTCTCAGTCCATTGTAACCACAGTTCTTACTCCGATTATCGGTTAAAACAATACACAGTCACTTGACTGTTATACACCCCAAAAAAAGCGAGTAATTTTTTATACAATAATTTATAATTTGGTGTTTCAAGTGTATTATCCTAAAAGTAATGCTTTCAAATGAAAGGGATTATTATAAGTTTAGAGTTTTGACAATTTACTACCAACAAATGTCTTAAAAAAGGGTTCTACAATAACCAATTGTAGAAGGCCACATCACTCATGAAATGTTGGTGGGGTCTCCAGAGAAAAGGATGAAGCTAGTAGCTACTACCAACAATGATTAAAACCTTTTCTTCCACTTGTGACTGGCTTTTATTGCTTTTTCATCATCATCATCAAGAACAGGCAATTCACATTTGCAAATGAAGCTTAAATAGAGCTGTCAACAATCTTCCAAGCACTTTTCATTGTATATCCATCCTGTTTAATAAATCACTTTCTACTCAATTCCAGAATTATTGATACACCTACATTCAAGCACACTATTTTATTTTTAAAAATATATAAGTATTTGATAAGAACATTCAAGCACACTTTATATCATACATTTAAAGCCATATCTTAAATTTTTTACGGAGAAATGTGCTCATTAGGGATTGTAAAGGAGACCTTTACTTTAGCTTTATAATGGCATAATATTACTCAGATTGGGTACAAGTATTGAGCTCAGGTATATATCCCAGCTTAAACTCAGACAATGTAAGAAAATTTTGCATCTTTTTGGATCAAAATCAAGTATCATGTATCCACATATATATAATATAAATTCTTTTCGAAAGTGTTCATTACATAAATAACAGATCATTTTTTTCACCTTTCCCAACTAAAATACATTTTCATTTAAAAAAAGTTGACAAAAACAATCTTTTTTGGTAGGAAATAGGATAAATATTATAACTTCAAAAATAACAAAATTACTCGGTCACTAAACAATGAGCTTTTCCAAGTTTTAACTGAAAGACAGACCAGGGAAAATAAAAAGATGGTTCAAAAGTGGAAATCAGAGTACCCCTGTCGTAGAGGTAATTATCACACTCATAATCTTTTTAATAAAATGAACGTGAAAATTTTACATATCTCAAGTGAGTCAGAATTTATAAATATTTTATATTAAAGAAAAGACAAGCAGATAAATTTGGAAGAAGAAAAGGTCACACACACAAAATCCAAAAGACATCATCTCAAATCTTTTTTTTGCATCACAAGATAGGAAATTAGTAATCACAATGACCCATCAAAGATTTCTCTAATGGTTCAGCACTACTGTGACTTATAAACTACAAGGTGAAAGGGAGATCTCAAAAGATAATAATCTTTTGCAAAATTCATATGATATCCTTCACGTCACTAGAATTAATTTTATATCTAAACTTGAAATTTAATAAATTTGACGAAACAAAAGTTTTGTATAAGGATAGAGACATCCCCTAAAATACCTTTTGAGAAAAGACAAATCTAACCAATCAAAGCGAAAAACTTGTGTGCAGCTGCTCGCACCTTTATATTTCAGTAACACCAATTGGGCTTAGGCCTACGGGTGTAGGTGACTTGGTTATATTGTAGAGGAATTCCGAATTATAGGTGACATATACTATTATTTGTTAATAGTTGGCGTTTTATACGAATATTATGTTAGGATGAATTTTATATATAGAAATGATGGTTTCTTATAATGTTCGGGATGATTTGTTACGTGTAAGGGTGAGCCAATGCCCCAAGACTAGTTGCCAAATTTTATCACAAGAAAATTTAAGCTGCATGTTGCATCAAGGACATCATCACAATCATATTATTTTTTGTAACATATGGAACTAATCCAGTAATATCCAGTCACGAAATTTTATGACATGTGCAAACAAAACCTTTTTGTAATCATAAATTAGTAAAGAAAGCCATTATAACATCTAAATATCCCATTATTAAAATATATATATATAAAAAAGAAGACAATCAATGGTAGCTAACCTTAAATATTCAATTGAAACAATGGAGAATCATCGAGTGGTTCACAAGTCCCATCAACACCACAAACTTGGATGACAAATTTGAGAGCAGAAATACCAGAAGGAACTAGCAACTCAGAAACATAAAAGGCTTCCACAAATGCGACTCCAAGAAATTCCTGTACATCTTGAAGCTTTACATCCAGATTTGCATCTTCTTCTGATGTTTTCTTGACATAAATATTGTATTTCAGGATTTCATTAAGACCATCTCCAACCTTAGATCTCCATACAATGGTAAGGGAAACAGACTTGGATTCATCCAAGCCAGCTTTCCAAGATACATCTTGACCCTCAATGATCCATGACGAAGAGAGTGGGAATTGTAAATTATGACCAGAATATTGGATTAAGAGATGACCAAGAACTGCATAATACTCAGATGTCTGTCCCTCATTCATTTCAGGTCTCAATTTGTAGCAGACTGCCCGAATTTCTGTTAGTGTATACCCTGGCATGGCAATGATGTTCTCTTGTACGACCCACCCATCAGAGGACTCCGGTTTGGTAATTCGATGAGGCATGATTACTTTGCTGAACCTGCTAGAGAACTGGTTCATGGTAAGTAAAGTATCCCCATGTGATGCAAGTAGCACTGATATAATCTCGCCCTCACAGGAAAGAAATTCCAGAGAAATGCCCACCAGAGAGTTCCCATCTGACTTCACCTGCAAACCAATTGAAATTTGAGTATTGTATGATTCATCAATTAATCATTTATAGTGATGTACCAGCCAATAAAAATGTCCAGAATGGACAAAACATTTCGTGTTTCATATCATGATTGATAAGAACACTAATTATTTTTCAAAAGTAAGCAATGACAAAGATATTAGCTACGGTGCTCATCAAATACACCTCCATGTAGCACAAATATCAACTTTATTTCAGTGAGAGACAGACCTAATTCACAAAATCCAGATAGGAAGGTCAGTTCATGAGTTTGCAATAGTAAAGACAAGGCACGATTACAGTGATACTTTAACTTAGATAGAGAGAGATGAAAATCAAAGGCAGAGTACATGACGATGTAGTATGATCCAAGTACTTCATGAATTTTGGTTGGTTTTTTGGTCAAACCCCCATTTTATGGATTGTTACACATGAGCACCAATCTATCTTCTTAAGCACATTCTCCTTGGCCAAATGAAAATAACTAATAAGACAAATGTTTTCGAAGATTTTCTCTAGACTATTTAGAGCTGAGAATTTTAATAGTATCATCTCCAGAAGAACACCAATTAAACTCAAAATGTTTCAAGGAACTAAGCAAAAAATTATACACCAAACTCATCTTTACTTGTCAGATTATAGTTGAATAATTGTAACCAGAGTAAACCCAGATGCTAATTAAATTGAACTGCAGTACATCATTTTAAGTCTCAATCTGAATTTATTGCAGAAAAACAGTAATTTTTAGTATGACTCTTTTGAGTGGGGGAAAATGGCATGCACAACCATCATTGAGAAACAAAATGTTAAAAGTCAAACACTAGTGTAACTGGGAAAACCTAACAGAGCTGAATATTTGAAGATGGCTTACAGAATATGTGAAGCCCACAGCTGGATCCCCTAGGAGGAGTTTTGCTTGAAATAGCCTTTTTGTGAAATAAGGAATGCTTCCAAGAATGCCTTTAAACGTGACATTCCCTCCTCCATTATAAGATTCCTCCTCAAGGCTGACAATTAAGTGTAAAAACAACAAAGGAATAAACTAATAGCAATTACAACCACCATCAGAGAGGATCATACAGAGGCAGGATTTAGAAAGGGTGAGAAGCACAAGCCTTACCCTTACAAGCGAAGATAAATTTTGAAAAAATAAAATTTAAATAAATAAAAAATACCATCAATGAAACCTGATTATCCTCCAATCTTAAGTGACGAAGTCTATAAAAAAGGACTTCTTCAGCATGTGCCCTATTAAACCACCAACATGATACCTTTAACAAGTGCGGGTGAGGCCGTAAGGAGGGGCAAATTCATGTGGCATTACCCACACAATTGCAAAAGGGCTATGCCTAACCTTACCCCAAAAATTAAAGAGGGTGTACAATCCCGGGCCTAAACAAAATCCAAAGTAAAATTCACTCAATATTTTCTGCCACCTCCCTCTCTAACTGATCTCTTCTATATATAACTCACTAGCTGCCTTCCTCCCTAAGCTTATCTAACTTATTTGCTTTTCCAAAAGCTCCCCTCTTCCACAGACCACAGGCTAGTCTATTAAATCTATCATCTTATGATTGTCATGGGAGAAAAAAAAAAAAAATCAGTGTTATTGAGGAAGTTTGATTTGAATCGTTTTCAAGGGACATATCCACTCAACCAACAGTGTAATTAGCATAGTTGAATAGTAAGAACAATTGGTCAATATTGTAGATAATAATCAATTATGACAATACAACTTCAAAATAATTTACAGCAGTTAATTAATCAGGGCATACCCATAAAAAGTAGGCTTTGTTGAGGATAAAGGTTATGAGTGTGCACAGTTGCACACATGGCACATGCACATAAATACATACACCAGTCGCCAGTACAAGATATATGCAGACAGCACCATTGAACAAAAAGGTGCAGTGGAATTATCTACTTACTTGACAAAAACTTGAGTAGCATCTGGTCCTGGGTCTCCAGAAAATTCTAGCAAAGGCTGCATACACAAATGAACTTAGTACATGAAGAAGCATGCTACATTGCTTAGAAGTACGCAGTTTTTAATGAATATTTTTATTGCTTCCCTGCCTTATAAAAAGTTTGAGATAACTCTTATGAATAGTGTTTGAATAATTATACCCTCTAAATAAAATGTTTATTTACTTATTTGCCCTCATTAATGCTAATTGCTTCTTTTTTGAACTCTTAAGAATAATGTGCGGACATTATACCCCTAAAATATTTGTTTACATATTTCCCTTATTAATGCAGCCAACAACTAAATATGTTACATAAGGCCAAACTGAAAGAGCTCCCCGAACATGGCTTTAGCCGCCCTAGTCTTAAACTAAAGTATCAAGAAAATGAATCAAGTTTAGAAACTCAACCAAAAACAAAAGCCTGATAAGTTAAATAAGGCAACATGCAATACGTCCCATACCTGAAAGCTTTGGCATGATAAGTTGCACCAATCAGCATTTGAAAGTTCCCTCCCATCAAGAGAAAAATGGTGACCACGACCCTAGAGGAAAGGAAAAAAAATCCAATAACATTCATCAATAATTAAATGAATTTACATCGAGTGCATTATATTACAAAAATGTTTCCATGTCATAAGTGATGATGTGAACTTGAAAACGAAAAAGAAAAAAAAAAAAAAAAAAACCTCATATTGCTTCTAGGGTCATTGATAACATATTACAAATAAATATAATGGATTCAATACTAATCTTGCATAAGCTAATTATACATCTAAATTTTACAATAAACACTCCCCCAAGGTGCCTTTAGAGTATATCAACCTAGAACTCAAGGATTTAAGTAAAACATGTCTTTTTAGAGGAATGTATTTTAGTTAAAATATATAAAATCAAACAAAGCTTATGTTCAGCCTTAATAATCCTAACAGAACACATAAGAAAAGAAAGAGCAAAAATCCATGCAACTCTTAGGAAGTTAAGATTTCCATGGAGAGATGAAATTAATAGTTTAACCGTTAACTATTGCCATTGCTATCATTTCATTTACATCTACGCCATATATATGCATTTATACTCCATCCAAAGATGATAGTCACATATTCTATAGTAGGATTCTGGAAAATGTCATCACATTTTCAAAAATATTAATGCATCATGCATGGAATTTCCATGACGCTACGTATGCAGAAGGGAAGGACACAACTTTGAAGATTCGAGTGAAATCATATCACATTCTGAAATGTGATAGTTTGGGTCATGTAATAGTTTGGGTCATTGGGATGATGCAACAACAGAAAGCGCTAAGAATAATATTGCCCTTACTTTCACATGGAAAAGCAAAATCCTGAGATTCAACATCAGACATAATTCACACAGCACAAGAAAAGGGTTCTTTAAGTCTATGCCCATTAATGTGAGTCATGAGTGTCCTTTGCTCTGAGCAACTGTGACAAGTAAAGAGAGAATGAATTATTAAAAAAACAGGATCACAATCAGTACCTGATCAAAATCTGAGTAAAATGGGATTGTCGTTGGATAACTCTGCCTCACTTCCCAGGATTTTTCAATAAGATCCCACCAACTGCCAAAACAAAACAATAAAATTCATCATTGTGAACCAGCAAGGCTGCAAGCCTGAAACTAAATTCAACGGCATTTAGAACAAAGATACAAGTGTCAATCAAGCTCATGATAATCTGTTAGTGGCTTTGCCCCTCCGCAAACAAGAAAGAGCATTAATTTTCATGTAAAATAAGTAAGTGAACAAGCACATGATAATTATAAGAAGCACCAGATCTACCATATGCATGTAAGAACCAACAATGAAGTGTACACAACCAAAAATCAACAGATGATGTAGTTTCATCATAAGAATTACTGACAAGCATGCTTAAGATTTTATATTTCTGATCTTAGGTCTGGTACTTCAAGTTCAAATATTTGATGGAACTTCGCTAATATCCAAAGTTCACCATCTAACACCAAACAAGACTAACCAAAATTACATAACAAGCAAGCCAGGAACAATATAATGTAATCTTTGGTCTTTTAAATTTTTTCCTTGATTGAACTGTCACTGATACCTACTGCTCACCATCTATACCAATCAAATTTTCAGGAATATAACCAATGTTGCATCCCACATATTTCTATGAAAAAAAGACAGCTGAAAAGCATTGACAACAAACTGTTGAACAAGCTTCATATGGTACTTCCACCATCCCACTATTTTTGTCCATGTTAAATCTTTTATGAATATCAAGGTGTAACAGTTCAATAGAATCTGACCCATAGCATGTTGATGTATTAGGAAAGTCAAATGGATGTATGTAATTACTAGCTAAAGAGGACAGTAATTACAAGCGTGTCAATGAATGCAGAATAATATCAGTTAGCTACCGGTTTTGAGCAGTCTGAAAATCTGGAGGTAGCTTTTTCTCATAGACCCATCCAGGTGCAAATATTGCAGCTGATACATCATCCTTCCTTATGACATCTAGAGCAAGGTTTGTCTACAATTTTGGAACAATTAATTTCTAAATTAGAGGTTTCTTAGCATTTGCCTACCTGTCAAAGATTAATGAGCAAGAAATGTCACAGATATCTGCAATACAGCTCAATAGTTTATAAATTCCTTTATAATTAATCACTCATTCACCCCTTACACCACTAATATGCATTATCTTCATTGTGCTCAACAGAATCATTAAAAGATCTTTCTATGTGAAGTGTGAGAGAAAGCTATACAGTGGAGTAAGAGGAGTCTTTGTATTAAACAAATAATAGGCTTTGTATTCCTTGGTTCCACAAGGAAGTGGCAAATGGCAAGGGCGCAAGGCTTACTCTTGTAGTTGCAGTCATGTGTTTAATCCCTTTAAGTATTACTTTGTTGTATCCAAGAAGTTGTATTGATGGAAGAATAATACGTCAGCAGATATATCCTTGGAGGCTAAGATATTTTTTGGTGCTACAAACTCAATATGGTGGTAAAGTTTAGAATAAAAATAATACCAAGCAACGGTGGTATTGTCCTTAGGTAGCTCCATACAAAGAAAAAATCAAGAAGCAGAGTCCTTTGATTTTTAAGGAGTTCATATGCATTAGCTGCTAAGTGTATTGAGTATTGACAACAGATTCTATAGGTTGAATCTTTAGGATGATAGATGATTGTAGTTACAATTAATCAGAGGTATCAATGCAGGGTGAATCCCATAGCTAAATTTTATCTATTGTCAAATTTATAACACTTGTATATCATCAAATTCCCTGTTTTAAATGTGGTAACTTTACTTAACAAGAAATGGAGACATGAAAAAAGAAAGCAAAGGAGATACTTACAGTCCACTCCCCTCCACCAAAAGTGTTCCTTCCAAATACATCTATTCCCATATAAACATCAAACTTTCTATCACCAGCAATATCAGCAGAGAGCTTTGGGAAGCCTTTCTGTGAAGTAAGCAAATAGTTAAATTACAACACTTAACAATCACCCCTGTAGCAGAAAAGAAAAAACAGAACACCAACCTTCCATGTGTAGTTTACAAAAATGCCATCACACAGATCAAAAAAGGCTTTGTTCTTGTCATTCAGCTGATCTTGCCAAGCAAGGTCACCATGAACGGTAACACTATCGTACCTGCAGGTAGCAACAAAACATCAAGAACTGTTCATACACAGAGAAAGAAGACAGGGAGATCTTCAGTACATACCATATCACCAAAGATCCAGGCTTTGACATATGCATCAAATCTGTCAGATGGTTGACAAATGCCTTCAAATTTGCTACCTCAGAAGGATTTATTTTGACCTCCATATTGATCTGCAAGTAGCTTAAATTAACATTTTAATTAAAAAAGGAAAAAAATAAAATAAAATAAAAAGAAAATAAATTAAGAAGCTTACAAATATTAAAAAGTCACAAAAATCCCAGTAGCATATTTGCTTTATCTCTTGGAACCAAGAAAAGAACATATTCATGTTCCTTCTATGGCTTTGTCAAAGATCTAGTTAGAAGTATGGTGTATTAATCAATCAGTTGTCTAATCCAATCTTGGTAGAAGCCTATAACCGTAAATTAAAACTATCTATAATAACCTCTGAGAACTACCAATAGAATACGATATACCAAACTCACAAGATGAAGACAAAGCTGTAGCTGTTCGCTTAAACTTGGGGTTCGTAGCTTTTATACTAACAAGGAATTACATAAGATAGACTTTGAGGGGTGTCAACTGTCAAGTAATTTTTAAAGGAGACCAAGAGAAAAACTAATATCAGCTGTCAGTTTTGATCTCTGTAATTAGAGTCAATTAAGTACAAATTAAAGAACTGACATAAAAAGATAACTGAAACAAAAGGGTGATACAATGGTTCACAAATTCTTTTTAAGCGTCAAGTTGCCTAACATCCATTGCATCAAGAGTTAAGCAGAGTAAAAATACATGGTATGTCATAGTGACTAGTGAGAAGTCATTTCAACATCAAGCAAAGCTCTTCCATCTTTAGTATCAATCAAAACCTCACATGAAAGACCAGCCATAAGAAGGAACAGGTCAATTGTCAACTAGAAATCCAAAAACAATTTTGCAAAGGCATTTGACACGTGCCCCTTAACAAAATCCTTTTCTTGACTGTCTTTAGCTGCAATAACGTCTCTCGGCTTTACCGGAATCAATGAAACTACCCTCCTTCCCCAGCAATAACAATGTAAATCCCACAAACTCACGATTATCCTAAGCAAGGTAGATAAGAAGACACTCCCAAGAAAAAATAGAGACAGAAGAGAAAATATGTTCACAGGGTATCCTGTCCGAGAGTTCACTGTCATTTGTTGTGCAAACATCCAAGCTACAATAAAACTAACCATCCAATCATCTACTAATGCCAATTTACATTTGCCAATTGCCAAAAAAATTGCAATACACAGAAATCAGGCAAAATATGAAAAACATGCAGATATATACTATAATAAAATAGAGGAATAATTTACCAGCCAGCCATCAAATCCAAGAGCAATAGCAAGCTCGGCCAATCGTTCAGCACACATTCGAGCATACTCGATACTGGATAGCAGTTGATCACTTATGATCCTACCCTCATCCCATTCTGTCAAAAAGGTCCCCAACACCTAAGATCAAACATAACCACAACAAATTAGCACATGAAGTACAATTTTGCAAAAATAATTTATTGCACAAGTACTAACCTAGTTACTCAATCAAAAAAAAATACCTTAACTCCATGCTTGTGAGCAGCATTAACCCAAGAAGGAGGAGGAAGGGTAACCAAATTATGAGAAAAATAAACAAAAACATCCATCAAATACCAATGCCAAATAGCATAAGCATCAGAATTAGTCCCACCTTGGACCCACTTATCATCATCCAAGTACCCACCAGCCATATCATGGCAAACCAAAAGCCTAGGTTTTTGGGGCAAATTCAAATCCCCATTTAAAGGGGTTGTAGATTTATTAAAAGGGTAGTGAAATGAATCAAAATATGATCTTGATTCGAGCTCTTGGAGGGTTTTGATTGGGTATGAAATTGGATTTGATGGTTGTGATGGGTCAAATTTTGGTGGGTCTGAAATGGGTAATTCAGGGGATTTTTGAGAAGCCATGATTGGAGAAGGGATGAGAAGAAAGATTTTGGTTTTGATTAAGAGAACGAAGTTTTTGGTAGAGATTAGGGTTTCTCTTTTCAAAAAGGCGCGAAGAAGGCGATTTAGCATTTGAAGGAAGAAGACGATGATGATGAAGAACAAGGAGGAGTGACTTGGCCGTTGACATTACTTTGTACTTGGATCATGCGAAAACAATGTGAAGGAAAGAATCAAAGGATGGTGTCACAATTTTACACCCTTCGAGCTGATTTTTGGGACAATTAACCAAACTAAGCTTAATTACAAAATAATTTTGTAAAGTAGACGCGTGGCAAAACTATTTACCAAACTAAGCGGGCAAAGCTATCTACCAAACGCGTTTTATACCCTAGTTTTTTTTTAAAAAAAAATCAATTTGTAAAACGCTGTCTTCATGTTGACTTCTTTTTTTTTTTTAATTTCGTAATTTCTGATTTAAAATTTTCTAAAAAAAATATTGGATATGTAAAACGCTGTCTAGAACAGCGTTTTACATATTGACTTTTTTTTTTAAAAAAAAAAAACCAAATTTCTGATTTAAAAAATAAATAAATAAGTCAGTGACAGCGTTTCAGTAACTTATTTTTATTTATTTTTTTTTTAAAAAAAAAATCAGATACTCCACGTTCTCCATTGAAGCAACAACCATAGTTCCTTCTTTCCTATCATTATAGGGTTCAGCAAATTTCATAGTTCCTTCCTATCATTGTAGGGTTCAGCAACGCATTATCAACTAAATTTGATTCCTCCAAAATTAGGCTCGAAAAAATCACAAATTTTAGGGAAAAAAAGGTCCAATTTCATAGCTCCTTAATATAGACTGCAAATTCGATTCAAAAGTAAACTATGCTCGAAAAATCAAAATTGATCATCTTTCAATAATTGATCTTACCGTCAATAAAATTTGATGATAAACCCTGGAATGTTGTAATGGTTGCTGCTTCAACGGAGAACGTGGAGTATGCTTCAATGGAGAATGTTGTAATGTTGTAATAGTTGTTGCTTCAATGGAGAATGTGGAGTACGCTTCAATGGAGAACATGGAGTATCTGATTTTTTTTTTTTACAAAGATAAAATAAAAATAAGTTAGTGAAATGCTGTCTTAGGCAGCGTTTCACGAACTTTTTTTTTTTTGAATCAGAAATTTGGTTTTTTTTTATAGAAAATTTTAAATCAGAAATTACGATTTTTTTTTAAAAAAACAAGTCAACATGTAAACCGCTGTCCAGACAGCGTTTTACAAATTGAATTTTTTTTTTAAAAAAACCAGAGTATAAAACACTGTCCCAATTTACCTTAGAAGCTTAGTTTGGTAAATAGTTTTGTCACGCATCTACTTTACAAAATTGTTTGTGAATTAAGCTTATTTTGGTAAATCGTCCTGATTTTTGTGCTCGTGTTATGGACTCATGATTAGGATGCAATCATGCAATTTTAGGACGTTATGTATCTAATTCTCCATAATTTTATATATTGTACTATTTTGATCATACATGTCAGATTTAATACTTTAACTTTATAATATACATTTATAAAAAAAATTCCCTAACAAAAGTGTTATTTACACATTTTAAGTTTTTAACCATCAAAATTTAGTAGGAGGCAACTATATTCCTTTTTTGTAAGAAAAAGAAATGAATAAAATTGTTGCTTTCAAATTTGTTAGTGCATATTACAGTTTAACTCTCAATCATCACGACTATTATTTGAAATTTTGTGTATGTATTATGTAGAGGTGCTAAAATAAATATTATAAGACATGTGTAAAGTTACCCTATAATGATCAAAGCTTTAAAAGTCACTTATTTTATCGATAAAGTTGTTTCTATTTATTGCCCCTTTATATTACCCTTTGAATCTTTAATTGAACTTACCCTTTTAAAATTTTAATTTCACTTGTAACGTACGAAGATAATTCAAAAACAGGTTAAAGACATTAAAAAAAAAAATCACCTTTAAATTGGATAATAGTTATCCATAATTTAAAACTTTACATAATCAAATTACTAAGAGGAATCTTGTCAAATAAAAAATAAAATAAATAAATAAATTACTATAAGGAACACTTTATCGGGAATTATTTGTTGATAATAGCAAGCAACCACCCATAGATTATTTGAAAATTATTAATTCTTATCCAATAAATTATAAAACTCATGCATTGCAAGAGCATTATTCAATTTGTTTATACTAAACATTATCACTAAGATTGATTATGCACATGCAATAATGAATGCTAGATTACACAGATATTATCATAGTCTTAAGGAAAAAAATCGTGTACAGCTCATAGTTTGAGCCATCAGCAATTCAGCATTAAGTTAGGTGCCTTGATATGAAATATCTACACCTATTTGGCTATTTGCCTATTTGATATTTTAAAAGGAATTAAAAAATGAAATCAAATCAGGTTGTATCACAAAACCTCATAAAATCTCAATTATACAAATTATTAGATCTCTTGCAGCATAATATACATTGCATGTTAGCACGTGTTTATTTATTTATATAATTGTAGTTAGTGTTTTATATTCCGTATTAGAGAGTCACAAAAGATACTCTTAACAATGTAAACGAATTTGCTCTCATGTCATAATAATGTCCTTGAATAATATACTAGTACTAAGAGTCTAAGACTTTAACAACCTAAATTAAGATATTATACAGCTACAATAAAACTTGCATTATATTCAACACATTAAAACAACAATAATAATAAAAAAAAAAATTAAAGGAGCAATCATAATTTCTAGAAGAAATTTACATCACCAAACTTCTTTTTCTTTCGATCATACTACATTTGAGTAACAAATTCTGGGATTTGAAGTCAAAACTAATCAAGATTTTAGGTGTTGTGAAATTTACTTACGTAACACCCAAAATTTAACATAAAAACCGCAGTAATTTCTTTAAGCTACGGAATGAAATCATACTATGAATTTTACTTCTACTCCGTCATTTTAAATGAAACATTTTGCTTTTTCGACTACTTACCCACTCTACTTAAGCTATTATTAGTGATTTATATCTAATGAAAAACATAATCACATGAGATCAAAATCACTCAATGTATAATTTATTAATATTAATATATGCATTGATAATCGCAAAGATAAAAATGTTTGATCAGGAATAATCATAATCAGAGATGTTCTGAAGCAGCGTTATCAGCTTAAGGGATTTAGACAGACGTCAGCCTCATCTGTTAACTATGAGTTGTCTCCAGTTATCGTCTCTGTAAATGGCAACTAAAAAAATCAACAATACACAAAGAACACCCCTAAATTGGGATTACCATTAAATAACATACTTGTACATAGTAATAAGCACTTAAATTACAAAATCAAAAAGGATAATACAGATCAAAATTTAGAATCAGATTTTGGTTGTGACTATATTTCTTCTACTTTTGTTCAGGACCTCTGCCGTGTCAAAATCCACAATTGCATTGGCAGTTCAGATAGTCGGCCACAACGTTTCTTAGATTGCTCCGTAGTGATATGCTCAGCTAAACACTTGTAAAATCGGAGAACAGGCAACATTTCTTTCTCAGCCTCGAGGAATAAATCCTTCTCATGGGTCAATCCGCTCGTGAAATGATCTTCATGGTATGGACCATTTGTAAACGATTACTTCTGCAGAATTAGTCTACTTCAATCCAGCAAATCATCGGCTCCCATTAACCTTGCATACTCATCCTCACCAATAGTACCTTTTTTCAACTTCTTCAAAAGCCGGTACTCCCGAGTTAAGTCATCTACATCTTCCTTAGTCTGAACAGCCCGTCTTTTCTTTGCTGTTGTCTTCTTCATTGCAGCAGTCTTATTTGGGGCAGGTTTGTGCTTTTGTGTTTTTCGATTCTGGTTTACTTCTGACTGTTTCTCCAGCAAATTCTTTTTCCTTTGTTTCTCACGAGATTTGTCCCTAAAAGAAAACCATGACGAGTCAGCCTATGATTCTTTACAGTATAAAAGATATACTTCGTATTATAATTTACATAACATAAGCATTCCAATTCCTTTGAAAGGTTCTTACTTAAATTTGATCTCCTGCAACTTCACACCCTCAACTGGAGTGAAACCTTCTGTTGACAGTCCGTGGAGCTTAACTTCAGACATTAAAGGTAACTGCAATAAACCATACCCCATCCCCAACTTTCCATACTCCAGTTCTTTCCACCTATAATTCATGAGAATTCACTTTTGTCAGTCTCTCAATATGAAGTAATTGCAGAAATACTTATCACAGTACATGAAGTTGCAGCATATGACCTGAAAATATAAGAGCAATGATGCTCCTTATATGCACGGATGAAAGAGACGTAGGCTTTTTGTCCTTTCTGCACAACATCACGGTCCTTTATTGCAACAGACCTGATCTGAAAATGAAGTTTGATAAAAGAGTATGGAGATATTAGCATCAACATGACCCCACATGCAGCCATCAAAACGACACATCAAAGTTCAAACAGCAAATTTACCCACCTGGGGAACGACATCAGGACCATTAGAGCACTCCCTTTTCTGAAGAGGCACCCTCCTTATCCGCAGAAATTCAACATATGCTTCTTCCTGTACATTTTATAACAATGTATCAGTGTTCACAAGCAGGCGGTAAAATTTGAACATTGAAATTTGGAACTCCAAAGTCATCCACAATATGGACATTAAGTCTTAAAACTACCTTGGGCAACAGAAAGACAACAGCACTTCCCTCTTTCCCCATGCGAGCAGTTCGTCCAACTCTATGATTAAATACATTTGGATCTTGTGGGGGATCAAACTGCAAACATAGAACAAAATAATTGGCATTTTAAGATATATTTAAAGATATAAGTCTTATTACTAAAAATTAATTTAGCCTTGATTTCCAATCACTGCTTCCATCAGCAAGCATCATAGGATCATTACTTTATTTCATCATAATAATAGAAAATTCAGTATATAATTAAAACATCAACTTATAACAGTAGTAACATCCATTAATGCGATAATAATGTTACCTGCAAAACGCAGTCAACGCCTGGTATGTCCAATCCACGAGCAGCAACATCAGTACAAAGAAGAATGCCACTTGAAAGACCCGTAAATGATTCTGAAGCTTTTTTTCTAGCACTCTAAAGGCCATATGAATATCAATAAGTAAGAAACTAAAAAAGCAAAATGATCCAACTACAAACATATCATCTAAATCGTACCTGTTTCATTTTCCCATGAATAGGAATTATTGAATGACCCTTCAGTACAGCAAGTTGTGGAAGCACAACTCCCCAGTAATCAACACAAGCGCAAGTCATAAAGAAGCTGCACAAGCATAGACAAAAATACAACAACCATTTTATTTAGTATTTGAAGAAGTTTATGCAAAATTGCAAACATTTATATACTACGTATATAGAATCACTTGTAACCCACATTATAATCTTTTTGGATTTGTATTTGACAAGAAGGTCAACAAGCTCCGATGACTTCCTGTCTGCCTCACACTCCAGATACTACAAAACAAGAAAGAGATATTACCAATGCCAAGAAAAATGTCAGAAGAATACAAGTATCATAAATATAATTCCTTCTTAGCTAGTGGGCATGTTCTGGTCAACGTTAGCACAACCATATAAACATAACTTGTTTTGAGTTTGGGGAAAGAAACAGCTAGAGACATAGCATACAAGGCTAATAATTTGCAAATCAAAATTATATACTCAAGGCTAGTGGGTATGAGATCTGAGCATGAACTCATATACTCATAGCAATCAAACTACACACATTTAACATTTCAAGAGTTTAGGTCACGGGATCAAGGCAAATTGTTTCCGGATGGCCAAATTCAATGATAGCTCACTTATCCCCACCCATCAACAATGCTATGAGAGCAAGGTTCTCATGATCTCATCAAAAGCTATTATTTTAGGGGCAACTCTGCAAGCACCTTCCAAATTCTTAACTCAGCAGAAAAAAGAGTTACCATGCTGAATTTCTACAGATGAGTACACTCATCATCCAGACCCAAGAGACAATATGAAAATGGAAGCTCAAGCTCTAGAAATTTCAGGCAAGATTAGGACTTTATGACATAGCTATCTAATCAGACCAATGATCAAGCAAAGATCACCACCACTATCAGGACTTTATGAGCTCTCAAGAACACAAACAAAACAAGACTAAAGAAGAAAAAATTTGGCAAGCATGAAACTGTGAAAGTAAGATCCATGCCAAGGTCTCAAACGTCTAATAAAGACATGCTGAGCTCTATGAATCAAAATACCTCAATATGAAGGCCCGAGGGTATTTTTGAAGTGTTCGCTGTTGCAGTTGCGCGAACTTCAACCCTCACAGGATTCCTTAACCCAGCTTTAGAAAGCTCCTCAACTGCCTCAGTTTGAGTAGCAGAAAACAAACCAGTTCTACGAATCTTTGGTAAGCGTGATATTATGTTATTAATGTCCTTTTGAAACCCCAAATCCAAAAGCCTGTCGGCCTCGTCCAGAATCAAAACCTGTACACGAATACAATAAAGTACAGAATGTACTCAGATAAGCAACAATTACAAGAACCCCACACTATAGCAGTCTATACAGACCCCCCAAAACCAAAAAAAACGAAGACGATCAAGAAATTCAACTACGGTCCAGAGACACCTGAACAAGTTCATATTAACACAAGTAAAATATACCTCAAGGTCACGAAATTCCAAGACATCTACACGTTCCATGATGTCAAACAACCTTCCTGGTGTCCCAATCAATACATTTGCCCCGTCCTCCTCTATCTTTTTCAAATCTGTTTTAATATCCCCTCCTCCAACAAGAAGCATTGGCTTGACATTTGAAAGTGTTGATATAAAAGGCAGGGCAACATTATATATTTGTGATGACAACTCCCTAATCGGAGAGATAATTATTCCCAACACCTGCAAGACAGTAATTGATAAGCACTAGAGCAAGCTTATTTTATTTATTGATACACAAATACAGGGAAGTGAGGGCCTAAATCCATCATTCACTTCAGCTAACAGCTAAATTAAAGAGTTTAATATAAAGCTAACAATTTAATACCAGAAAATTTTCCTGCTGAAGTCACTAACAAAAAACAATCAGACCAATTTAACCTTGACTGCGGTAGCTGCCCATTTTCATTAAACCTTTAAATCTCTAATAGTCTAATTTCCCCATTACCTTCTGTTATAAATTAAGACAAATATCTGACAAGCAAAAGGAGAGGGGGGGGGGGGGGAAGGCAAAAAAGAAAATTTCAAATAACAAATTTTGTGACATGCACTCCCTTCCTATCAGAATACTTGAAACAATTTGACTAACACACTTGCCACAGCACAAGTTTGAACATAAATACTTCGCATATACAATATGTATTAGAGAAGAAAAAAAAAAGCGATATTTAGATTGAGACTAATCCAACAATATATGACACAATAACATTTGGTCTTTATATTCTAGTAAGACAACGTGGTCAAAGTTAATCCATGATTAGCAAGCCTTCAATTAAACATAGGCGACAATGGCTTACTCCACAATTATACAATAACACAAAGTTATGACTTAAAGGGATTCAACAACAACAACAATAACCAAGACTCAACCCATGAGTTATGAACCTTATGATCCGGCAAATGAAGCTGTTTGACATGCATCGTCTGCTAGAAGCTCATATAAGTTCTGCACTGACCACCCCACCAGTTCAAAATCATTGCAAGGAAGCTCCAATAGCTTTGAATGTTCAAATGTATGAGTGCATAAATAACAAGCATTAACAAATTACTTCAAATAAATGTTCATTTCAATCATAGCCTATCATCACTATTCGAACATTACATAAAGCATCCAATCAAACATGATATGAATGTTAAAATGTTGGAGTGCTGGACATCAACAAACATTAACAAATTGAGAATATTATCATATTACCATCTACAAAACGAATCGTAAATGTTCATATCATTCATACCCCATCATCACTACTCACAACATCCGAGCAAATATCTTCAATCAGCAAAATTCAATTACCACTAATTCTAATACTACATTAATCATAATTCAATTACCCACTAATTCAAATACTACTTCAAACAAATATTCATAACCAACCACACTAAACCAAAAAATGCAATTACACTACATAAATCACTCAAAAAAGAAAAACCCATCTAAAATTACAGAATATAAACTGCAAAAATCCAGAAAAGGAGAGAAAGAAACAAACTTGATGGGGTTTAGGAGAAGGGTTAGACCGGCGAAGAATTTCAACAAGTGGGACAATAAAAGCAAGGGTTTTTCCTGAACCGGTGGCGGCATCGACGGCGACATCTTTGTAGGTGCAAAGTAAAGGTATAGTGGCGGCTTGAACCGGTGTACAATAGTGAAAACCACCTTGATGAAGAGCTTCAATAACCGGTTCAGAGAGAGGCGGTTTAAGGTCGGAGAAAAGGGTGGTTGTTAACGCCTTGTTTGTGTTGATTTCCGCCGTCGTCTCCATTCTTTCTTTGTTTTCCGGTTTGTGTTGTTTGGCTGCTCAAAGAACGAACATATAAACTGTAGAGGGTTTTTGCCGTTTTGGTTATGAACTTATGGGTAATTCCATTCTTCAGTTTTTTTAGTTACATTTTAGGGATTTTTTTTTTGGGTTAAATTCATTTCAATTTGAATAATTTTCGTCAAAAATGTAAGTTGGGAAATTCTTTTTGATATTCACGTGTTCATTATACTAATAATTCAGTATTACCATGAATAATTGAAATTTTTGTTGTTAATCAAAAAGAAAATTAAAAAACTTGTAAGTGCCAAAAAGAATTTCCCAAAAAATTCGAGTAACTTTAAAATTTAAACCCTAAACCTGGTTAACTAGCGGAGCTTATTAAGGTATATGTCATTTTTTCAGGTTAACAATCATAAACATTTAAAAATAGAAAACATTACTTTCTCAGTTTCTCCCTCAACATATTGTTCTTTACTAACTTCAATATCAAAGATCTCAAAAACACCCTTAAAGGCAACTCGTTCAGTTATTAGTGTAAGTATCATCAAGATCACGAACTAATTTTAAAGTTTATCACTAGTAAGGTTATCAATACAAACTAAATTTGAACTACCATAAGTATCCCACTCTACTACAAGAGTACGTGATGAGCTACTATGCTATCTACCATTCAAGCATGTGAAATGGTAAAAAAAAATATCAAACAACAAATAAGATTGCTTATATAGTTATATCCCTACCTTTTAAAAAGTTTGAGATAACTCTTATGAATAGTGTTTGGACAATTATATTCTACCTTTAAAATATTTATTTACCCTCATTAATGTTAATTGCCTCTTTATTTAAACTTTTAAAAATAGTGTGCAGACATTTATAACCTTAAAAATATTTGTTTACATTTTTTCCTTATTAATACTACTCACTTACAACTAAAGTTGTGACATATTACCAAACCAAAAGAGATTTCCAAATATGGGTAATTACAGCGCTTGCATCACATACGTTAACTGCTCTAGTTAATATAAAACAATCACAATGGAGAGAAACCCAAAATGTTGTTGTCAATTACTCAAGTCATATGTTACTTTCTTACCATACTCACATGTAACCCAACCTTTGTGCAACAGTTGCCTCACCCATCTTCAACTCCTAAAGACAAACACCCCATTCTTCCTTATGCCACCTAATTGGAGCCTATGATAAGCATCCCTTATCATCTCTCACAATTGCACCCAGTCTTACATTGAAGCTAGTATGTTGACCAAATTTACGCCCATCAGAGACAAAGCAACGTTGCAGTTAAAGGGAAGCTTGAAATTACATGTTTGTTTAACACTTTTTTTCTTTGTTTACCATACTAGCATAACTTAGTTATTAGCACCATCTTTGATAAAACATTTTCATGAATAGACTTGTAATTACAAAACCAAATGGACCATGCCAAAAAACAATAACATTCTTAACTCTTTCCTATTTCATCTTACTCGCAAACCACAGCATTTTTGGCATGAATGACTAACAGAGAACCTTATGTCCTCATTAATCAATCTCAAAAACTGGTTGCTTATCCATACTTCTTGCGTCATAATATATTCAATTACAGAGCTAGTTAGACGCAAGGTGACGCCTAAAAAGCTCCTATTTCATTGCCATACTTCTTTTACAAGATTGTCAACTTGCCTCACAAAAAATTTTCAACTTTAGAGGAACACCAAGACCCCAAACACACACACACCAAGCTTTCCCTCTCGTCCTCGCTCAACCCTCTAGCCACACCACAAAAATGGCTAAACCTCCCTAGGAATATCTACATTCACACTATGTCCCCATCTATATCAAACAAGAGTAAATCATTATGCAGTACTTCATCTTCCTTTTTCACTCAGTCAATTCCTTATCCTTATCCCACCCTCTTATCCCTACCTTTTATTCCGAATGCCCTAAACGAAAATGAATTGTACCCTCATCCAAGGTCAATACGATTTTGTACATCAACGTTGTCCCACAAAACATTACCTTGAACACCCCAAGTTCAACCCCAAAAGTCCTGCCTTGATCGATCCTTACCAAGAAAACGAAGAGAAAGGAAGACCAACAATTTCCAGTTTTAAGAGGCGATAACTAATCGAACACCTTAAACATAAAAAACCCTCTAAAAACCATGAAACTTTTTATCTGGTATTTGTAATTACAATTTCAAAAATCTCCATAATCATGGGTTCTCATTATTCTTCAAAGCTCATTCTCTTTCTTGTTGCGATTTTGTTCCAAGTCAACTTCAACTCAGTCTTTGCTGGCACCTGCGAATATGGCACTCGTGAGCGCAACAAATTGTATAGCTACAGCTTAACTTCTGCGGTTAAGAATTTCCCACATGGTGTTCTCAGCGAAGATGGGTGAGTTTTTTTGATTGATTTATTTGAGCATTTGTTGATTTTTTATTCTGGGTTTTTGTTAATGTTGATTGATGATGAACTTTCACCATTTAGCTACATTTGGTATTTGGGGTTTCGTTTGATTGTCAGATTTTATGATTTTAATTGAATTCATTTGGGTTTTGTTTGGTTTTGTGTTTGGGATATGTTTGGATTTTGAAATTAGGTTGTTATTCATTCAATTGATCAGAAGGAATGTTTAGAGGTTAGGTTAGTATTGCGGTTACTTGATTTGCTTGTACAAGATTAAGTATGGGAACGCAATTCGCTAACTAGATTTGTAAATTCGGCCATAGTTACTACTTTCATGCATTAATTTGTTTTTCTTTCAGTTCGTAAGGATTAGCTAAACAAATAGCACTGGTTAGAAAGTTGATTTATCAATGTTTTTTGCTGGATTGTTTGTCTGAGTAGTGTTTGTGTAGGAGTAAGAGTCATAGGTTTTGCAGTTAAGGCATGGAGGAGCAGATGAATGATGGGGTGAATCGGGTGATTAGTTTCATTTTAACTACTTAGTCTATGTAAAAAAAATGTCACTCGATAATCATCAAGCATAATGAAAAGTAGTGCAATGAAAACAAAGCACACGAGCTACCATATATGTAGGGGACTCTCTACTTCTCTAGTGTAAAAGACCATGCAATCTTGTAAGGATCGATAAAACAAGTAGAAGAATGCTATATGTGCAACTAGTTGAAACACACCAAGAGGACAAGGAACATGTTTTAGGCTTCGTCCACAGAGGAAGAGTGCATTCTATTCACCTGATTTTCAATTTTTTTTGAACTTACTTGAACTTGTTAGGCTTTATTAGAACTTACTTTAGTTGTAAATTGAATTAGTTAGCCCTTATTATGGAGTAACACTTATCAAAACTTATATTTTTTTTGTACTTATTTTATCTAATCCTATTTTCCTTTATTATATCTAATCATATTTCCAGAACATATCCTATCAGAACTTATTAACCCTTATTTGTACATATCTTATCAGAACTTATAAACCCTCATTTGAACTTATCTTTCTTGAAATATCAAATATGTGAAAATAAGGTGAATAGAACAAAAGGCTTCATTTGTGGCCCCTTGATTGTGGAGTTGGGTTGATTGATTATTGATTTGCCACTTTTAAAGGCAGCATTAAAGGCTGCATATTTACGATTTTATTTGGTTTGGTTCAATGATTTTTGTTAAACTGCAATTGGTGAGGGTGCAATAATTTGTTTTGTTTTGTTTTGATGAAAGAGAAGGGAAGATCTACAAAGAAAACAAAGCAAAATGAAAAAAAGAACAGAGCCAATGAAACGATAAAGAAACTGAAAGAAAATTAAAAATACAATTAAGAAACTAAGCTGCCACAACCAGAACCTTTCTAGTCTATGCCACCCTACTAAGGTCCTCCTATAAAACATGGTGTTCTCGTAATGGTGGGCACATTATGAGGTTGCTATGTAGAATAAATTACTCATGATGGGCTGCATCAACACTGTTCTTGCAATTATGCAATTGTGTTTGTGCTTCCTGACAAAACTACTGTATCCTATAAGCGCTTTTCCATTAAACATGTGGACTTCAATAGATGTACTAATGCACGTGTTTCGCATCAAGTGGTCCAGTGTTTGACTATTATGCTCTGAATCAATCAAGTGTGTCTTTGACAAATTTTTTGTTCAATTTGTTTTCAGGTTTTACAAAGTAGCTGCAAATGATACAATTATCTGGTTTCAGGTTGGCTTAACCAGGTTACACTCTTTCAAATACAGTGGTGCTACTACCTTTTGGTATATTTTTTTGAAGAGGATGGATGCCTGAATGCTGATTGCATTTGAAATATAATTCTAACTTGAAGCAGTGACTTCACTAGCGTTGACTCCTTACTACTAAGTTATATCTTATACTTTGGATAAGACTAGGATTTAGAATATATATCTATTTGGCTATTTCAGTTACTTATCTGATAGAATTGTATTTTTTGCTGAGGTTTCTTTTTCCTTGTGTTTTTGCTGTAGCTTTGTGACGGAATGATCTTCAATCACGACCCTCCAAGATGTGTTGATTGTTGGGTAGGTTTTCCATTTTGTACATTTTAATTATTAAATTTATGTTCCTTATTTTGAACATCTATACTGGCATGCAAATATGCAATACTTGTTACTTGTCAGTCAAGGAGTGTGATTCTTTCCAAACTCCCCCAAGGGGGCATCTAGGCTGACTGCCTCTCTTCCTTGGGACCTCACCCAAGGTCTATAATAAGCTTGGGAGTTTGGATTTTCCTTGCTCCTTGTGAACAACAACAATAACAAAGCCTTAGTCCCAAAATGATGTGTTGGGTTATAAGCCTATAACCATGTTAAATTGACATAGACCTTTTTAGAAGATTCTATTAATAAAATGCCTTTTTAATATGTTTCACTTTCTGTTTTGCCATTCAATTCTGTAACATAAATTGTGGAAGTTGAAATTCTATGAATAAACAGCATGGACCCCCCCTCCCCCCTTTAAATTTTCTACGATACATATTTGCAGACCTCAATATATTTGAGATTGTTCTTCTCCTGCATGTGTAAATATTCTTCTATTATTTCTCAGTCTAATTTCAAGTCTTTCATTTTCATTTGGTAGGATTGTGGGGGGCCATCACGTTGTGGAATGGGTTGCAGTGCCCTTGTGGCTAAAAACACTGGAGGTGAGATATCTTTTGCAGAGTTCCTTTATCTTTTGCCTATTATAAATACTTTCTTCTCTATTTCAAGGTGTGGGGATGATTGGTAGCTGAGGGTTCTGATCTCACTTGTCAAACCTGCAAATAATAATGCCGTATTCTTCTTTAGCCTTTATAACCTGGCTATACGAAATTACAACGATCTTTTCCAATGGCTTCTTTGGCCTTAGTTCACCAGCTACAGTAGTATAGTCACAAATTTGTGAATCCATGGGACAATAGAAAAATCCTCTTGTTAACTATTTCAGAACTCTGTATATTGTCGTGTGACAATTGCCTCTGGTCAATATAAGGTCCTCATTGTGTTCACAGCAAGCCAGACCATAAAACAGATGTATTGATAAACTGTAGAAGTGTAGCAGTACTGTATTAGTGTGGAACTATCTTTTGCTGCATATATCTTCTTGTTTTTTCGGATCCTCTTCCGTATTCTGTGTTATTCAGTTACAGCCACTAAATAACTATGTTTGCTTCCTTCTGCTACAGTATCTTCAAACAATCCACTGTTTTTATGATGGTGCTTCCAGTCCCACATTCTTTAACTACCCCATCCCTCTGGCTTCTGACTCCACTTTTTATCTTCCTTGCTGATGTTCCTCATTTTATTGTACATTTACTGGCTAAATTCATGGCTCTTAATTTTCCTTCATGTGAAATGTGATAGTATTGATAACCCAGACAACGTTAGTAGTGGCCTGTGCCAGATGCTGCCGTGAGACTTTAAAAACTGCATGGTTAACTGTCAGTTGTCTAATTGCTAGATGAGGATTTTTCAAATAGTACAGAACACCATATATTGGCTCCATGGCCATCAGACATCAGTCAATCAAACAAAGAAAATGCCGTTGTATTATATCCTGAATGTGATTATAGTTTCATGTAATGTTGTATTTAAGCTGTTAGGATTCTCATTGGTAATGATTAAATCTTTGTAACGTCATGCTCTGTGTACAATAGTTTGTCATAGATTATATCTTTGCAACAATAGTTTTACAATAATTTGTCGAATTTTTTTTATGAACCAATCCATGTCTGTGCAGGATATCTCGCGTGCACAACTCTTGGTCGTGAAATGAACTTTGACATCAATCTTACAGGTAAAAGATTATATCTTGTCATTCTGCTTTCTCATTTCCGGAAATAAGTTTGTAAGGACCATATTTTCTTCATCTTAGTGCTTTTGCTGGGGCGAAGCTAACTTTTGGGAAAAGGTGGCCATGGTCCCTCCACAATTTTGAAGTTCTTTACACTTTCTCCATTTCAAATAGTTGCACCATTTTGACTTTATCGAAAGTATAAAAAAATGATTTATCAAAAGTATACATTGAGACTATCCAATAATATTTTACATTAGTATAATATTTGCTTTCATATATTAGTATAAACATATGGTCAAAGTAAGACAAGTAAATATCACCAAGTCGAAATGGTGTAATTATTTTGAAACAAAGATAGTACAACTTTTTTCATACTTCCATTACTTCGTATATAGCATGACTTATTAATAGTTTTGATAATATATGGAGTACGCAAATTTAACCAAATACATCATGAGTCCCAAGTCGTAATAGACTAATAGTGGTGAGTGGTGACTTATTTTTCAATTGTTCCATTCATCCAAATTTAGTTGTCACATGCTCACATCATTAGTTCAAATTACACTGGCATATAGTTACAATCAATTCTGGAAGGAGTGCCTCTTACAAACTTTTGGCTTCATTAACCTTACGGATGGGTTTCTCCTGGTGTATGTAGCTGAGGGAGATAGGCATTAATCTCTTCACAGTTATGACTGTTTTTGCACATTTACTATTCTGTTAAAGACTCTAGCACCCAATCTTGTAGAACTTGAAAGGCCTTTGACATTACTATTTACAATGTTCTATGTTGGTTGTTCACCAGATAGAAAGTCTCCAGACAAGGGTGTTACTATTACAATGTCAAGCATTACTGACGGAGTTAACTGTTCACTTTCAGTTTCTGTAATTTGCGACTCAAAGGGTGTTAAGGTAAGATTTCGTGACTTGGTTTTTACTGCATCTGATTATCACTAATTATGGTTGCTTGACTGTCGCTTTGCATGCTGTCTTCCTTGTTTGCAGGAGCCAGACACATTTGAAAAATTAGGTTCCTGTCATTATGTGAGTACACATGGACAATAATTTCTTATTCTGCAACGTTGTTTTTTAAATTATGTTTTATAATGATGATTTGCGAGAAAAAATTATGTGTATTGGGATGTATATAAGATGTTTAAAAATCTGTTCTCCCTACATCAGTATACTTCTCCCATAGCATACATACTTTAGTTTTGTTGTTGGATGTTGGATGCCCTTGATGTAAATCTCTACAGTCTACACTAGATACCTTTACACTTAATGTGCGGACCACTCTGGAGGAACAATTTAATTTATCATGGAAGAGTTGTATATGAGATTAGTGCACTTTCTAGGTTGATGATACTCTGTATTTCCCAGTTTTATCTTACATAGCTGATAGACGTTTACGGGTTCAGATGTATAATGCTATGGTTTATTATTATGTCTTTTTGACAGGCAACTGAGCTAAGACATCCCTCAGGCTGTCCCAAAATTGCAGTTCATGCGAGCGGATGGGGATGGTTTAGTTTCCTTTTGACAATGTAAGTAGGGAGACTGTGTATCTGCTTCAGAGGCTCTTCAGAATCATATATAAGCATGCTTTTACTTCTATGGATTTCCTTGTTTGACTTGTAGTCTTTCGATTTTGGTCTCAGATTGTTATGCAGTGTTGGAGCCTATCTGCTCATCGGTGGAGCCTATCGATATTTCACCCTTGGTATTCGTGGCTTAGATGTATGTCTGCTACTTGAACTTATTTCTTAATTTGGTTATGACATTCTACAATTTTATTGATGATTTTCTATGCTATTTGTTCCTAATTTGACATCTGTGTTAAAGTCCTTATTGCTGCTCCCTGATTCTGCTCCGTTATCTCTCTGGCTTATTTTAATGCCTTCTCTTTCCAGGTTATCCCTAACTTAGATTTTTGGATCAGCTTACCACATAGCATAAAGGTAAGCATCCTCCTATAACATTGTAACTTCTGCTTTCCATCTGTGTTATGTGACAAGTAAATTGTGAAAATTGTTTTGAACTTGCTTTGAGTCCAGTAAAATTTTATTTTGGGCTAGATTTGTTTTTGCTAGCATGATCTCGTATGTCCTGCAAGTTTTAAACACATTCCTATGTCCTAGTTGGTGCTCCCTTCCCCCTTCCTGATTATTTTTAACTATTTAGAAAATTGAAGTATAGCTGTATACATCTAGAGATTCTAGACCTCAAACCCCATCTGTATGGGATTTATTCTTGGATTTTGTTAGCTCTTTTGCTGTTGTGAACAGTCAATTTCTCACATCTTGTTACTATGTTCACCATCATATTGCAGAGTTTTTTCATGTCCTTGGTGCAAAGGTTTAGAGGACCTACTTATCATCACAGAAGCTCTTATTCTTCGGTTAACTTCTGAGCTCAAATCTCCTCTCAAGTGCTGTCTGGCAGATGGGATTGTCACCTTCTAGATGAATGATTGAAGATTGTGCATTTTAGAATACAGCAATTCCGCTTGTACAAGATGAACTTATCAAGTGAGGAATATAATTTTGTCGAAGACAATGATACATACTGTTGATAGTCACTATCTTGTTGTAGAGCAGGTAACAAATTTGTCTTCCTTACATAATCCAATTCAATTGTACAATATCAAGTGTTTTGATCAAATGCATTTTATTTCTATATTGTAGATTGTTCACTGATCAATTTTGTCCTGAAACACATTTATCCTTAAAAGTAATAATCATCTGATTTTTTTCGCCCCCCAAATAGTTACAGAGCAAGTCTCTGTGAGAATTGTTGATGGCTTCTGAACTATATTCTTCAGCATAAATCTTATACTTGGATCAATTTTACTGTATTCTAAGTTTGACAGTAAGTTTTATTATTATAAGAATTAAATTGAATTATGGTGAAGGGTTAATAAGGAACTTGGTTTTCATGTGGTTGGTTATTAAGTTAAAAAAACGAGCTGATGCCTGGTTGAATTGCGCTAAGCAGGCCAATGCTAAAGCAGTCTTAAAAATATGTATGGTTCGAAAAGTAGCCAATTTGCCCAATCAATTGGCTGAACCGTACTTGACCAATTGTAAGTTGGGCTTTGTTTTTCTTAGCCTATTTTTGCTGAGTTCGACTTATATATGCTGAAAACTTATTTATGCCGAAAATTTACTTAGTTGAGAAGAACACAACCTTATTAAAGATGTATTTGAACTAGACAATTTCTCCGCAAAGGGCAGTACATGTTTTTCTATAAGAAATTTCATTATAAGCTACAATGAAAGGCTAACTAGATTGTTGACAAAATCGAATCTCAACATTTGTTGGTTGGCTTTTACAAGAAGTGGCTAGAGTACATTTTCAGCAACTATTGAACCCTTTTATCTTTTGTATCTAGTCTAGGAATAAAAGGGACAACCATTGTATGATGAGATCATCTATAGGTCTTTATTGCCTTCAATGAGTTTTGCTTACACTACTAATCTACAATCATGTTGTAGTCGCTTAGAGTTGAAGGTTAACTCAAGAAGACATGAGTAGCCGGGGTTTACACTAAAACTAAATGCCCCGCAACACTTTTCTTCATACGAAAATTTGAAATAAGTATTCTGATTAGAAGTATTTTGTATCTTTGTATAAGTTAAGTTATAACGTACGCGCTAAAACATAGCTTGATGAGCTTTTTTTAAGAGACGGTTAAAGTAATTCATAATGATAACATATCAATCTTTTGTAGGTAATTCGTGTAATTTATATATGCTAGCTGCTTGGAGGGAGAATCGATCCAAATTGCTTCGCTTGATAAGGCTAAAATGCTTACCTTACAAAGTACTTGTATATAGTTGTAATGATGTTACCTATCTTGTCTTTACATTCTTAGTTACATTAACCTTGTCTTTATATTCTCATATTTGATGCTCATCACCTGCTCCATGTTATTTCTTTTAATGTAATTTGGGTGTTGTAAGTAGCTGGTGCAATATTTCTACGTTAATAAAGATTAATAAAGCAAGAAAAGTAATTAATAAAAAAACAAAGAAATTAAAGCCAGACAAATACAAATGATAGAAGTCGAAATCTCAACCGAAAGAGACTTAAAACTTTACCTAATTTCAAACTAAAATGGAAGCTAAGCTATCCAAATAAATTTAATTTATTTTAAGGTACATACCCAATTATTTAAATTCATATAATCATATAATTTGCCCTTTTTTTTTTTTTTTTTTTTAATAAAATTCTTCCCTTAAAAGCCACGCAATATTATTAATATAGGAACATCATTTTACTAACTTTATTTATTAAGGTAAGTTGCACAATCTAATGATCAATACAAGTATATATCTTAGGGTTCAAGGAATCAAACTTTTTGCTGTAAATATTTGAGAATGGATTGATTGCAGCCTGTATAGGGTCTGTCTTGCTCTCTAGTACTTTTATTGTACATACCTCCGGTAAAAAGCACTTTATGAGTTTATTTTGTTATCCATTTCTTAAGTTACCTATAATTTTTTTGAAAGTAATAATTTATACTACTATTGCAACGATACATCAAGTGGTGTTGTTGTATTTTAAGGGCTTGAACGAGTTGAACCCGGTACATATCGGAGTAAATCAACTATCTACTATGGAGTAAAACAATAACAAATAATTGAAATAAGTTTACATTAGTTTAGTTTAAGGCTATATATTTTATTTAATTAAAAATCATAATCCTACATATACATAGTAGTATACAAGTATATATTTATAGGACGTTTTCACTCTTAACATTGTAGTATAATTTAATTAAGATGTTTTTTCTAAAAAATAATGCTAATCTCTGCTCCATGTTATATAAGTGACCTCTTAGTCAACCCATTGACCACTACAAATAGAAACAATATAAATTTATTATGGATCGGGTACTGTTTTGTGGGTAGAGAGAATTACAACTTGCAAGAGTAATGACGTAGACAAAATTCGATTCCAACTCTTTATTCTATTCCTAAATAGTAGTCACTTAAGTTTTTTTTTTTTTTTTTTTTGACAAGTATTACTAAATTAAGATAGCTAACATCCATTATAATATGTGATTTAAAAATCGAATCTAAAAATTCCTAAATTTTATAATGATCCACCTAAATGAAATATAAAAATCAAATCATTTCCACTCTTTCCAAATCCTATATAATCCTCATTATAACCAACTCCCTCCTTCTCCACAATCCAACCCACCCAACATAAATAAAAAAAAAAATAAAAAAAAAACTCTCAAAATTCCAAAAAAAAGAAAAAAAAAATGAAGGCACCTCTAACATCATCAATGGCGATGAATCAAATGGTGAGAAAAGCTCGAATATCAACACCATTCATCTTCACTCTTCTCGCTTTCATCATCTTCGTTGTCATTTTGTACGGTCAAGATTTCGCCTGCACTTTCTCAAGTTTTGATGATCATCAACACTTGCAAACACTCGATAATTCCTTTCACAACTCCAAACTTCATCCCAGCTTCGGTTAGTCGTCTCTTATTCTCTCTCCTTTGACTAAACCCTTTTCTTTCTTTGACCCTCATCCTCTGTTTTTCTTGTAATAATGTTTTTTTTTGGGGTTGTGGCAGTGGAGAGGAAGGAGAAGAAGAATAAGGGGAAGAGAAAGAAAAGGCTGCCGTTCGCGGTGGGGAAGACAGCGGAGGGTTGTGATATATTCGACGGCGAATGGGTGAAAGACACGGTGGATAAGCCAATGTACGAGGAATGGGAGTGTCCGTACATTCAACCTCAGTTGACATGTCAGGAACATGGTCGTCCTGATAGAGGGTATCAGAATTGGCGTTGGCAGCCTCGCCGTTGTGATCTTCCTAAGTAAGTCGTCTTGTTTTGTTAGGTGTGATTTTATCGATTAAGTTAGTTGACATTTACGTTACAACTCTTACAAGGTGATAGTGTGATACACATACAACATGCAATTTATGTTACGAGTAGTATTTTATGGATAGTCATGGAGTAGTTGACATTTTTGTTACAAGGTGGTTACATGAATTTTGAGGTACAAGTTATATATTTAGATTAATTAACAAGAGCTTAATAAGAGAAGACCCTATATAATATGAAAATACTTGAACTTCTGAATAGTGTCCTCTGGCAAGTTAATGGGGGAATTGCATTTGCTTGCATGATGCACCATTCATGCATCTATAATGTATAATCCACTATTTTGTAAAAATAATTTCACTTCGGCAAAAATAAGATGAAGAGAACATAGCCTAATTACAATAAGATTTTTCGACTGTTTAAGAGGGGGAAGGGAAGGCTGTTAAGTGTGATGCATACCACCAATGTAGTTATTATGCAACGTTAATTTCCAGATCAAGCCTATTATTGATTTGCATATGGGAGTACTAAACAAAGGCATAAACATGCAGATTCAATGCAACCTTAATGCTGGAGACTCTTCGAGGCAAGAGAATGCTGTTTGTTGGCGATTCCTTAAACCGGGGTCAGTACATTTCCATGATCTGTCTTCTGCATAGACTTGTACCTGAAGAAGGCAAAGTGATGGAGAACTCTAACTCTTCGTTGACAGTCTTCAGATTAAAGGTCAGAGAACAGTGCAATCTGCATCAATTTAATTTTATGCCAGATTAATCAAACATGCGCTTCAGCTTTCTATATATCATTATAACTTCAGGATTACAATGCGACCATTGAATTCTACTGGGCGCCCTTCCTGCTTGAGTCAAACTCCGATGATGCTGTTGTACACAGAATACAAGACAGAATAGTTCGCAAGGGATCTATAGATACACATGGGAAACACTGGAAAGGAGCTGATATTGTGGTGTTTAACACATACCTCTGGTGGATGACAGGTCTTCAGTTCAAGATCTTGTAATGTCCTCGAACCCTTTAGGGAGCTCAGGCTCAGTTTGAGAGCAGTATTTCTGTCATCCAATCTTTTTTTCTGACTAAACTTGTTTATTTGCCTTCAGAAAAGGGTCTTTCAAAGACGAGGTGCAGGAAATTGAAGAGCCCTCTACTGAGGATGCTTATCGATTGGGAATGAAGAGCATGTTGAAATGGGTTGAGAGAAACATGGACCCAAAGAAAACTAGGGTCTTCTTCACAAGCATGTCACCTACTCATGCAAAGTAAGTAAATGAAGACAGGGGTTACCTGGGAAACGAACTCAGTTTATAGCTTTAATTTCGAAATGAGATATAATGTCTTGTTCATTTATTGCAGGAGCATAGATTGGGGAGGTGAGGAAGGTGGCAACTGTTATAATGAAACGACTTTGATAGAGGATCCTGAATACTGGGGTTCAGATTCTCGTAAAAGCATAATGAAAGTAATTGGAGAAGAGTTCAGCAAATCTAAGGCGCCTATTACATTCCTCAACATCACACAACTATCCAGCTACCGGAAGGATGCACACACTCAAATTTACAAAAAGCAGTGGAACCCTCTGACTCCAGAGCAGAAAGCAGACCCTAAGAGCTATGCAGATTGTGTGCACTGGTGTCTGCCAGGATTACAAGATACTTGGAATGAACTACTATTTGCAAAACTATTCTATCCTTAGCACAAGAGGCTGGTTCAATTCTAGAGCTTCTATGATTACTATCTGAGGTTTGTTCATGGATGAAAGCATCCTGATACCTAACTTGCCAAGGGCAACAATTTTGGAAAGAAGATGAATCAAGGAATTAAGAATGACAAAGTTTTGTGTACAAATTAAGTTGAAAATGATTGTAAGTAATATAAGCGATTCGAATGGGATTAATTTTTGTACATGAACAATCATGTAATGCAGAGAATTATACAGAAATGAAATTTCTGGAAAAATTTCCAGGTTAATGTTCCATGCTCTATAATAGATCTCCCTGAGTCGCCTTTTAATGTAAGAATCATCCAGAAAAAACAGAGTAGTTATAATACAGCAGATACTGGTTCAGTAAACTAAAATTAAACTTAATATAATCCATAATTTGACATCTTTCATTTAGCCGGGAAAGGAATTAGTACATAGTTGTATGCTCATTAGTCATTACTATTTATAAGAAAATAATCTATTCTATAACAACCTATTGCAAAATAAGCATTAATAAAAAGTCACAAAATTTTGATCAAGTAGCATTAGTGCTTTACATTCTATGATATAAGCACAGAAAGTACTGCACTAAAAGTTCAGAAACTTAAAGGATTGCAGGGCATAAATCTATAACCCCAGCTCAAGAATTCTTGCATGAAGAGGAAAATATCAGATAAAATGTAAGTTTACATAATGGTGGGGAGCTACATTGTCGCAGATCTAGAGGTTTTCATATGAAATTGCGGTAGACCTGTATGAAGATCAATCTGGCCATGGTTTTACATAGAAATGCAAAGGAAGCACTACGTTCTAACAACACTACAGAATAACAAAAATTGATAACCAGACACTCGGAATGTCTTGCATCATTTAAGATGAAAAATGCACATCAGCACATGAAATATACTGGTAGCTTTGGTATTACTTTACTCGATTCTTATTAACAAAGTAACATATCCAACTAATAAAGTAAGGAGTCAACAACTTATCAGAGACACTGGCTAGTAACCTGTCCATTATTGTGTTAAAACTAAGTGATTAATCAACTAACATGGAAATGCATTTTATGACGCTGAAACCAATCAACTACAAGCAGTACAAAATTTGTTAATTTCTCTAAAGATTGTGATCTGAAGTTTTTTTAATCGTCATCTACTAATAAGATGCTTTAGTTGTCATATGAACCATGGTTTTCAATAAAAAAAATTCATTAAAATATTCTCGTTGCAGTTTGAAAAGAAAATGTAATTCGTATCATATTTTACAGAAATGTAATCAGGATATGAAACAGAAACAAATAAAAAATTTTCAGATATGCAAACTGTCGTAGCTATCCATAAGTAAAGGATAAACATGTGTCAAACAACAATTTTTTTGAAGCAATCAGTCAACCATCAATAAAAAGGGACTACGTACCTTGTATATCTATGCAACTTCCCTCTTTTAGATTTTCTCCCTCCAAAACCCAAAAGACCACATTTAGAAAAGCCAGAGGGGAGAAAAGTTCTCCCGTCTTCTTTTCTGATGAATTTGACCGTGAGAGAAACCCGACTACCTCCATTGGTCTTCACCCTCCTTGCCTTCATCAGCTTTGTGGCCATACTGTACAGCTATGATTTCCCTTGGGCCTTTACGCCTTTTCATCATCAACAGCGATTTCCAGCACTCAATGACCCCCCTCCCTCTCTTGGTTAGTACTTAGTAGTCCCTCTTATCACAAAATATAGTCCTTATTAGAGTTTTTGGTCTGGTTTTATATGTAATATATCGTGGTCTTAATTCTTCATCAGTAAAGATGTTAAAATGATCTTGAAATCATTATCTTCCCATGGGGATTTTCCGTAAGTTCTGCTAAGCACTATGTCTCACTAATACATTGTTTCAAAGCTAAACATGATACTATGGTCTTTGTTTCCTTCTTTGATTCGTTTTAAAAGTACCTAGGGTAATCATAATGAAACCAAATAAAACAAAGGGGGGCAATTGTAGCACTCCTTTTTTTTTTTTCAGAAACAGAGTAAAAGATCAAATCATAATGATGGTCCTAGGCAACATTAGATCCACACACTGATATATACAACTATTTTTTTCCCTGTTTTTGCACTTGTGAGAGATTTTGTTCGGTTATTGTAGTTGAGTTGAAGCATAAAAAGAGCGAGAAAAGGAAAGAGACGACCCTTCCATTTGCAGTAGGGAAGACACCAAAAGATTTTGATATATTCAGTGGGAGGTGGGTATGGAACGAGGAGAAGCAGTCTACGTATGAGGAGTCAGAGTGCCCCTATATTCTGCCACAGTTGACATGCCAAGAACATGGACGCCCTGACAAGGACTACCTGTTCTGGCACTGGCAACCTCATGGCTGCAATTTACCAAAGTGAGTAACTATTATCCAATGATTTCCTAGATGATAGTTCTGATGTAAGGTCTCTATCATCTTAAAATGCCAAAAATGCTGATTCTGTTTGTCCTGAATATTGTCAAATATCAGGAGCATTCTATTGATATAATGATACTTTGATTCAAAGGTTGTCAATGTAATGAAATACAATACGATGCTTATTATCATACATGATACAGAAAATTTGTTGAAACAAAGAGAAATATATGAAGTATAAATTTGCATGTTTACACAAACTCAAATGCAGAACGTAGAATCGTAGATGAAGTATGTTGATGTTACACATGAGGAATTAAATTGTGCAGTGCTTTCAATGACACATATGTCTCACATCAATCATGTGCACATTGCCACATTGTAATCTTTTAGTAAGTTGAACTATATTTTGAAAGCATACCTAAATAAAAATCTTTTCACACCTGAGAGAGCAGAGAAATGGTGTTGTCAAATCAATGTGCATACATTGAAGTTTTGTTTTCAGTTAAGTTTTTGTTGGTTTGCACATACTAAATGAAACCTTACAGATTTAATGCAACCTTAATGTTGGAGGCTCTCCAGGGAAAGAGAATGCTATTTGTTGGCGATTCCTTAAGCCGAGGTCAGTTTATATCCATGGTCTGCCTTCTTCACGGCATGGTACCTGAAAATGGCAAGTCCATGAAAAGCTCTTATGATTCATTATCAGTCTTCAAATTAAAGGTACAACAATATATAAATTTCATAATATAATATCATGTTGAAAACACGTTGAGCTTCTGAAAGACATACAACGCCTTTTCCTTCAGGACTACAATGCAACCATCGAGTTCTACTGGGCTCCCTTATTGCTTGAGTCAAACGGAGATGGTGTTGGTAATGACAACGTAACAGAGAGGATTATACGCAAATCTATGGATAAGCATGGGAAATTCTGGGAAGGAGCAGATGTAGTGGTATTCGGCACATACATCTGGTGGATGACCAGCCTCAAGTTGAAGATCTTGTACTGTCCTTAACTCTTAGCTACTGGGCACTTATTTTCTCTACCGTATTCCATTTTTTTATCAACTCATTTCTTTTCAGGAAAGGGTCTTTCACGGATGAGGTGCAAGAGTTCGAAATTCTTCAAACAGAGGATGCTTACCGGATGGGTATACAGAGCATGTTGGAATGGGCTGAGAGAAACATGGACCCAAAGAAGACCAGAGTTTTCTTCACTGGCATGTCTCCGAGTCACACAAGGTATGTATGCTTGGCCTATAATTCACTAGAATTCACCTGAACATGTGTAATCATTAACTAGAATTCACTGCAAGCAATTTCGAGCCTAATGTGTGTCCGACAATCAACCCAACAAGACCACCATCATGAATCCCACCAATGATAGGGTCTATGGTGGTCCCAAGCCAACTAAGTCTAGCAGGAAGAATGTATTCAAAATACCTACAGATATTATTTTTGGTTAGGAATTGGGGTATTGATGTTAGATTTCTAAAATCAGGAGTATACAATGGGGAGGTGAACCAGACGGCAACTGTTACAACGAAACAACTCCAATAAAGGATCCTGAGTATAGCTGGGCTTTAAATTCCCATGAAAGCATAATGAACATTATTGATGAAGAATTCAGCAGAACTAGAGTACCCATATCATTTCTCAACATTACCCAGCTTTCAAGTTATCGGAAGGATATGCACACACAAATTTACAAGCAGCAGTGGAGCCCCCCAACCCCAGAGCAGTTAGCAAACCCCAAGAGCTATGCGGATTGTGTGCATTGGTGTTTGCCAGGCCTACAAGATACTTGGAACGAACTTCTCTTTGCAAAAATTTTCTACCCTTAAGCAAGAGCCAAAAAGATTTATAATTCACTTTTTGTAAATGCACTAGACAAGAGTTGTTCCTAGATGAAAGCCAAAGTCATAAATACCGGAGGATGTAATAAGAATGAAGTTTTTGTATAGAGATTACTATGAGCATACTTATGAAAGGAACACACGGAATTATTTTGTATATAAACAATCATTTGATGTAAAGAACTGCATAAACATTGGAATACGGAGTAATAGACATACTTTTTATCAGTCTGAATGGTCCTTCTATAATGAAATAAAAAGGCAGCAGACAATACAAGGCCAGGATCAAAGAGGGTGATTAGCAGCAACAACCCTAAACAGTATTCATAAAGTTTGGTGACTCAAGAAATTTGCTACCTCTTCAGGTGCATTTTTCCACTTCAGTGTTCAGGCTTCAATGGCCTGAACTCTAGCAAAATTACTACGAAGTATATTTTTGTTGATATAAAATGTCAACCATCCACAGCCAACTGTCAGATACCAACAGTATACTTCTTCTATGCCTACACAGATGGAAGAGGGAAGCCATGTAACTGATCAAGCAACTAACCAGAAGATCCATCTAAATTCATGAGAAAAAGTGATGTATTTCTAGTGCTGGTATAAAATAAAAAATCGCATAGATAACATCAAACACTTATAACAGAACTTGTCAACATAATTCTTCACTTATGATCTTCTACTACTAGCTTTTTGCTTTGTACATTGAAATATAAAACACAAAATGCACACCAAATCAAACTATATCTTTAAAGGGCTGATTAGACCAAAGGCATACTACATGTATACTACTCAGTTAGTCAGTTACTATTCAAGTGGTTAACTTTACACTACTTCGACCGCATTTATTGATTTATATGGGAATTATAAGAAGAAACATTATCATGTAAGATCTGGTTGTATTCAATTCTATATGTACTTTCAAAATACAGTACAACTTTTTCATACTTTTTTACTGATATAAAACTGAAGATATCAATGGTAAAACATGTGCATTGAAAACAACATAAATTACAAGTGAGTAGAACTCAACAAACCGGCGGGAGTATGACATACGATTAGATGACACACCCTTTAAAGATTACTTCCATTATTCAACTTAGTATACAGTCCGAGCAACATGACACTCCAAAACCTACTTCCCCTTGTCATACTCATTGAGTACCTCAAACAACCCTCAGATGAATTACAAACACCATTAAAAAACATTATACTGCCTTTTTCTCCAATCAATACAACGCCATCGATTACGTTCACCTAAAGAATTATATGCTATAACTACCCCATGAATTACATGATGTTGGAAATTTGCTAATCCTTGTAATGCAAATCGGAGTGTTGTTAAGTGAGTGTGGTCACCTTGGTGCCGATGTGTGCAAGGAGCTAGCGAGAAAGAGATGTAGCACGCAAGATTAGTGAGCCACGAAAGGCCGAGCTAGCAAGGGAGCTAGAGCTTGCTGCTAGCAAGGGAGCTAGAGCTTGCTGCTAGCAAAGGCTTGCAGCAGGTCCAAGCTATAGCTCGCATGGGAGAGAGCTAGAGCTCGCTGCCCAGAAAGCCTATGGCAGGGCCGAGCGAGAGCTCTCATGCGAGAGAGCTATAGCTCGGTTGTGGGTTTGGGCTTTGCGTGGAAAGCTTGCCTTGCTTTGTTTCTTTTTCTTTCTTCTCCTATAAATACTACTCCTTAACTCTTATTTCATACATACGTTATTTTCGTTATTGAAAACCAAAACAAACGAACATAAACGTACCCTTTGAGATTTGAACAGTTCTTGAGTAATTCCACTCTTCAGGTTCGGATACACGAATTACGGAGAGAGTTGTGTTAACATTGGGGGGCGTGCGTCATCAGGAAACTTGTACCGGTGGTGGCATATTTCGCTTCTAATGCAGTAGATTCTATTCTGCGGCACAACTGTATATTTGAAATCATCAATCAAGTATTTTCCCGTTCATCTTCTTTGTTTTATTATTAAAATCGACAGGTATTTTACGAACACATGAATCCAATGTAACATTCCCTTGTAAGGAATAGTGGCCTAGAGGGGCGTAAAGAACACTCTTTGAATGAGGACCAATCAATAACATTTGATAAACCCACCTCCCAAATTTGCAAATTAAGTCATATCCAACATAACCTCTCATTGTTCTATAATTGCACATATAATAATTAGTAGTAATAAACTAAGAAGTTTAGCATCAGAGCAAAGCAATAACAACCAATCACAATACCCTACAATTTCAACAGATTCTAAGTGTAACCCATAAATCATTAGAGTAGAAAACAAATTCCCAACTATAAAATTCACAACTTTAATGCCCAAATAATCATAATTGAAATTAAAATAGTAGGGGTTAGGGTTTACCGATGAACGAAAAAGAGGCAGAAATCATCGCTTAGATATGCATTATTGAATTTGAACTGTAACATGAAGTTGGCGGGTAATTTGCATTTGCGAATCATTCTTTATTTATTGGTTTGAAGTTTGAGCATGGTTAATTAGACATTTGATAATTGATACTGCCTTTGTTCACAAATCTCGCGGTTTGATCTTGACACTACTTACACTCCGTATCAAATGTTAATGTATACATTCTCAATTTCTAAATACTACTGCTATTGACACGTGTCGATATGCGCCTATGTATAGATTTGACATCTTTATAAGGTTAAACATGTATATTAGATTAGTCTATATTGTTTTCAATTGAACCGGTAAGATCTTTCATCTACCACTCTAATAAGTTAAGGCCCTATTCTTTTAAGCTGTTGTGTTCTGCTATGATCTACTCTACTTAGTATGCTATGTTCAGACGCTCAAAAAAATGAGTCTAACATCTAATCAATTTCATCAGGAGCAAGGGAAGTGAAGAATTATGGGGCTATCATATATTGGGATGGGCTTACATATAACCTTTTACCTATATGTATTAGTACACAAAATTAAACTATATGATAAAAATAATAAATAGCACAAGGTGAATAAGAGAATTAATCTAGCTAACAAGATACGAGTAGCACCTAATTAATCGATTCATTTGCATAGCTTTCAATGATGTAAGATTGATTTGGGTAGCATGATGTTGATGTACTTACTTTTCTAATGACACGCATTAACTTGTTAATGCCATGCTATTCACATGGTGTTTAATCTTTTACAATTGTATTTATTTATTTTTATAATTCTTCTCATTTGTGATCATTTATATTTTCACTAACTTTCAAAAGTATCTCATTCATTTTACTTATTTTTTTTTTTTTTTTTTGAAAGAAAGACATTCATTTTACTTACTTTTTATACTTTTATCATTTATTATATCTTTATTCTTTAAACATTTGTTTAAAAAGTTGAGAAGTATGTACTTACTCAATTAACAATAGTAGTTGAACATGTAAATCATTTTAGATATAGCAAAATAATTCTTGGTCGATAATACATCTGAAAAGATAAACTTTGATCATTAAATTAGGGCACAAAGTAGGCTTGTACAAAACTATCCAAGAATTCGAAAATCCGATAATCTGATTCGCAACCAATTCAAATTTTTGGATATCCGATCCGAAAAAACGGATATCGGATGCGGATTTGGATATTGATTTTCAAAATATAAAGGTTGAAATAATGAAATATATATATAAAAATTTTAAATTGTTAATATAAAACTGACCCTTTATTATTAACTTATTATAATATTCTTAATATATTTGATAGTAATTTTTATTGCAAAAAGACTACTATTTTGTTAAAATATGTTGTACAACTTAACGATAAAAAAGCGGTAAAATTAGTGAAATTTAGAAAGTAATCATAATCAATTTTACTTAATATTGGATAATGGATATCCTAAACATCCGATCCGAAAATTTTGAATATCCGAATATCGGATATCTGAAATTTTTGGATCGGATTTGGATATCAGTTTTTGATATTCGAATGATTTCGGATCGGATATCTGATCCGTAAATAGGCCTAGCACAAAGCTCAAAATTCATTGAATCTGGAAATTGTGCTTAATGAACCAAACAACGCAACCTAGCAACTCCCTCCGTCCCATAATATAGATTGTGTTTTTTCATTTTGGAGACCCAAAATGTTGTTTCTATTTCTATTTTTAGATAGTATATAAAGACTATTATACCCTCATTTTTTAAAACTTTATTCATTGTACTTCCTAAATTATCCTTGAATTTTTCACTTGCCTTGTACCTTTTTCCACTTTCTCTCTCTAACTTTTGTCTATAATTGTACTTTTCACCTTTTTTATGTACTTATTCACTTTCTCCTCTATAACTTTTGTCTATAATTGTACTTCCTTACCATTTTTTAGAAATTATATATTGAAATAACGTGAAAAAATACAAACATGAACTATACATTGAAATAAAGTGAAAAGGCACAAATATGAACTATACATTGAAATAAAGTGAAAAGGCACAAATATGAACTATATATTGGGATGAAGAGAGTAGATAGAATAATATTTAAAATTAAAGTTTTACAAATATCATAACATACCAATTGAAATAAAATTTATTACTGTATTTGTATGTTATTTATTGTTGTCTTTATATGCTTGCAATCACATAAATAAATTTATAATTTTGCACATTTTCACACTTTATTTTTCCCACTACCCAAATTTTTGTACATTTTCTGAAATTTTTTATACATATTTAGATGCAAGGTACACCAAAGATATTTAAAATATTCTGTCTGATAATCACAAACTTTTATTTTTTCTCAGTAGTAAAGTCTGAAACTTTTGATTATCAATAGTAATCTTGAATTAGTATTACTAATCAAATAATAACATTAATAATAATAATAAAAAAACATCATTAAATGATTAACCATGATTAAGTTCAATAAATTTACATTAATACCCCTTAAATTATTTTTTAAAAAAAATAAAAAAATCCAAAGGCCTCCCCACCACCGACACCTAATCCCAAAATGAGCATCCCCTCCCCCGTTCATATACTACAATATTATCCTTTGGGTTTGTTTCATTTTTACTGATAACTGAGCTTGAGGGGGTAAAATGGCAGGAAGATCGTCGTCGTCGATGGCAAGAAGATGGACAATATAACAGCAAGACAAGTTACCTTC